AACTTTGTGTGTACATTTTCAGGTGTGTGTCAACCAGGGGTTGACTCTATTTGCTCTCCACCTCATGTAGGAGACAGGGCCTCTCGTGAACCCGGAACTTATCAGTCTGGCTAGACTGGCTAAGGGGAGCCCCAGGGATCTGCTTGTGTCTGCCTCCCTAGCACTGGACTCCTAGGAGCTCACGGCTGTGCCAAACCAGATGTTAATATATGGGCTGGGGATCTGAATCCAAGCCCTTGGGCTTTCTTGGAAAGTGCTTTACCAACTAAGCCAGCTCCTTGGCCTTGAACTCTTGAGCCTCCTGCCTCCACCTCCAAAATGCTGAGATTACAGGTGTGCGCAGCCACATCGAACTCTGTTGTTCCTTTTAGTACATGATTGTAATATACAGATTGGGGGGGGGGGGATGCCATCTCGGAGACTGACAAGATGGCTCTGCCATAAGAGTGCTTCCCATCAAGGCTGATAAGCTGAGTTCTAGCCCCAGACCCCACATGACGGAGAGAGAGAGGACTGATTCTGTCCTCTGCATTGTGCACCCAAGTACATGCCCACAGATACACACAAGGACACAGACATACACACGCAGACACATACACCATCTTATTTGGTCATGGGTGTGTAGGGAGGTTCACAACCACAGCATCCTCACAGCAGAGGGAGGGGCTAGCATGTCATCCTATTGACTGTCTGGTGTGCATCTTTTCTGTTTGCACATCTGAGGAAAACGTGAGGGAGGTGATACCCCCAGGTCCAGATGGCAACTCTTGTTATTAAGGGATATTTTCCCACTACTTCACCCGGTAGTTTGTTTCTCATTCCCAAATGGTGTGCTATTTACCCAGTTCATTGTGAATTTTATTTTGGCTTTGGACATTTGATGTTGACCAGTTGTCTTATTGGTTATATTTTATTTCATTATAGTTTCAGGGTCAGCAGGCTTTTTCTATAAAGAGCCAGAGAGTAAATGCTTTAGGATTTGAGTACTCTGGTCTTCGCAGGGATTACTATAGTTTTGTTGTTCTTGCAGTACTAAAGCAGCCCTAGACAATAATGCCTAGATGAATGAGCAAAGATGTTCCAATAGGACTTGAAGAAAGCCAGCAATATGGCAAGCAGAGCTCTTGGGCTATAATTTACCAACTCCTGTCTAGACTCCTAGTCTCATAGGGGCAGAACGAAAATTGTATCCCCCATAGCAGATATGGAACCTGGCCTGGAATGTTGTGATGGTCAAGAAAGGTTGGTCCTTACATGTAGTATCTTCAGAACCTTTCCTGGAGCCCTGCTGTGTTTACTACGAGTACTAAGGTCTTGAAAAATGCCTTTTTGATGATCTTGAAAAAGCCAGCCTCTGAAAGAGCTTCATCTTTCTGGACTTGTAAACTTGGCTGTTTTGTTGGTTAGTTTTCCCCTTTACTGAGCTTCAAGCTTTGAGCCTTCATCCAGTATTGTTGGAATCTGATATCAGCTAGGATATATGAACTAGAGGGTAATAGCAAAGGATGTTGATAGCAAACACTTCTCAAAGCCCTCTTTGTCTCCAGATCATTGAATGCCAGATTTGTGAGGGTCGGTTTCTGTATTTGAAGTGGTTTTCAACCTTCCTTAATGCTGTGACCCTTTACTATAGTCCTTCATGTTGTGGTGACCCTAACCATAAACTTATTTTTATAGCTACTATAAGGGTCTGAGAATCGCTCAAGGAAGACCCCAGACTCAAATAGTATGTAAAGGCAGAGAGCGTTTATTCTGCAGAAACAACCAGCATGCAAGGGTTGACCATTTGTGAAAAATGGTGACTATGCAGGCTCTTCTTAAGGCTTCTAAGGGGAATTTCAACTGTGACTATGTGACTTTGATGGGGATTGACCAGTGCCCATAGAGCGGTGTATTTGTTCAATTGTGACTGGTCTGTGAGGTGGGGAGAGGATTACCTTATAGGGACTTTTCTTTGTTTGACTGACTTAGTTTCTGGCTAGATATTGGGCAGTCGTTGACTGGTTGCCCATTTCCTGTGGTCTCCAGAAACTCATCAAGCAGGAAAGGGGGGAGGGTGGCAGGAACTTTGGTCTTGCTTTGGGCCCAGTCTCAAAAAGAAGTTAGTCAGGTCCTCTCACTACTTCATAACTTGCTATTGTTATGAATTATAATGTAAATATTGTGTTTTCTGATGGTCTTAGGTGACTCTTTGTGAAAGAGTCATTTGACTCCCAAAAGGGTAATGGCCCACAGGTTGAAGGCTGTTGATCGTGGTCTAGTCAGGTTCCTGTGTGTTCATAGCTGTGAAAATGTTAGGAAGGAAACAAATGGTCATGGTAGCAACAGAGGTGGGCAGGAACCTGCCTGGTCTGTGTCATAGCAGACGGGGACTTTGACATTGTAGTCTAAAGAATGAGAACTGCTCATGCTTAGACTGAGGGAAGAGCATTTCGGCAGAGGAAGAGTACGGTCAAAGGCATCGTGGCAGGGGAGGCGTGTTTGGTTAAGGAACTGGGCAGCACTGTGATGTGGATATTGTTATCCTATCCTACAGAGGATGGGACTGAAGTTCAATGGATGAGTATCAGTCAGGACCAAGCTCTCTTTCAGGGGAGTGTATGAAGTACCAAAAAGTGGGAAAACACCATATAGGAACACTTTTAGGTGGTAAGATAAAACAAGTGCTTCCACATCAACCATTGCCGTATACAAATTGATTAATAATGGATAGTGGTGTGGGTAGCTCACCCAGAGCATTTTGGGACTTTTTCAAAAGAAAGCATCTAATGCTGATATACTTCTAAAGCATAGATGCTACTGCATAATAAAACCAAATCAGGTTAATTAAAGCACAAGTGACATCCTGGGATTAATAAACCGACAGAAGTCTGAAAAGAAGGAGCA